TCTGTCTGTCCCCCTGTCTTTCCCTATCCTGTCTAGCTTGGAAGGGTTGGGAATTTTGAAAGTAGTTGACCCTGGCTTCCGTACGAAAGGATTGTTTCCTTCCCCAGGAGCCGGGTCTCTTGTCCTGCCTTTTAAGCATGTGTTTAAGGACCTTGCGCTTGTCCTTGTTCTCTGTCAGGTATGGCGTTAGTGCCTCACCAAACAGCTTTGCCCCTTGGTACGGAGCCGAAGCCAATTTCCACTTGGATTTGGTATCCGCCTGCCAGTTCTTTAGCCAGAGGATGCGCCTGCTCGTGTTGTTTGCCGCCATTGCCTTGGCTGAAAACTTGGTCGCTAAAAGTGTTGCGTCCGACGCATATTCCGTGGCCGCTACCATTTTGCTGAGTTCCTGGTGAGTGCGTATATCCTCCATGGGAACCCGGCCCTGTAACTCACGGAGCCAACAAAGTGTGGCTCTGGAGAAAAAGGACGCAGAGGTAGACGCCCTGGTAGCCCAAGCTATTGCCTGGTGCGTTCTCCTGTAGTTGGACTCACTCTTTCGGTCCTCGGCTTTAAGAGCCTCAGCAAAATCTCCTGATATGGCCGTGTCCGATATCAGGGGACCTATGGGTTCGTCCACCACCGGCACCTCCAATGTTCCCTCTAGCTCCCTTGCTACGTTAAATAGCTTCCTCTCCGCATTGCTAGGAAGCGGTAGGGAGGTTGGCGCTGCCCACTGTTTCCTTATTGTGTTTAGGAACATGGTCGGGCATGGTATGCGGTGTTGAGTGGTTACCTTTTCGGCGAACGTCGGCTCAGCCTCCGTGTCAACTGTGACAGGCTCCGCTGGTGTCCCATGCCCCAGATGGGCTGTGGCCTCAGCCTTGCGCAGAATAGTAACAAAAAGAGAAGGGTTAAACAGGCCGCTGAAGGACGGCCCTTGAGGTGAGGTGTCCTCCTCCTCCTCAGACATTTGAATCCCTTGTGACGTACCTGGCTGGTCCAGGTAAGCTTCCTCAGAGACCGACGAGTCTGAGATGGAGGAGAGGTCCTGATGGTCCTCCGTTTCCTCCCGATGCCTCGTTCTAAGTCCTAGAGGCTTGGCTTTTGAAGTTTGAGCCCTGGCCTCAAATGCACGGTCCACTGCCTGTGCTATTAGGGTAGCTAGCAGATCCCCTGTCAATGCAGGAGGAGTGACCATTGCCTGCGACCCTGCAGGTGCTGTGGTTAGCATGGTCCTCGGGGTTTCCTGTAACCTCCGTGGGGAGGGGGATCGGGAGAGCGATGAGAATTCGCCTATCCCACCCTCTGTTTGGGACTGTGATGAGTTCCCTAATGACCAAATGGCCCGTGGGGATGAAGGGAGACCCAGCGGTAGGTCAGGACCTATTCCCCCATTCTGCCTATTTTCAATTCTGGCCCTTTTCTGGGCTCTGTCGAACTCTTTTTCTAGGGCTTGGTGTCTTCTGATTGCCTGTTTGTCAGCCTTCTTTGATGACTTCCTTGCAGCCTTTCTAGGGGCTGCAGAGGATTCCGAATCCTCTGAAGCAGGTGCTCCAGAGGATGAAGGCGGGGCTCCAGTGGAGGGAATGATTGCTTCCTCCATTCTCCACTAACGCTGGGCCGCGATAGGGGGGACCCAGGTAGTAGGAGAGCTCCAACTTTGAGTAAGGACAGGCGCACTACTGGGGGCGTCTGGAACTCAGGAGCAGACTCTGCAAAATTGTCAGAGTTAGTCACTGTGCACGGATAAGAACAGGCACGCTAATGGGAATGCCTGGAACCCGGCTTGACTATGGTGGGTAAGGACAGGCACGCGACTGGGGATGCCTGGAACCCACCACTAAATCCAGAGGCGTACGGGCCACTAATGGGGGACCCGAAGTCTGGAAGGAGCCAAAGGCAACTAAACACAGTTAGTTATGAAAGGTTCTTATTTACTTTAGGTAGAAGACACCAAGTCCTGGAACCAGTAGCTATGTGTCTGATTTGAATGTCTCTGAATGAATAATAGATGCTTTAGTACCCCAGTACTGCTTGCCTATTAATTCACTCCAGCGGCTGAACCTAGCTTTCTTAAGGAACTTTAACTCCCCTGTTTGGACAAAAAATATGGCCGCCGCTGCCAGGAAACTACTGCGCATGTGTTAACAAGGCTGCCTATGCCACGTGCGGTTGTAACAAAGAGCTGCGCGTGCTTCCAGCTGTGCAGACAATGGCACCTCGTTTAAAAAATCCTGAGCAGCCTGGAGTGAAAAGACTGCTCCTTCGCACGCCAGCTGTTTCCCTTAATCAATCTCCCTCCCAGCATGCGTCCCCTTTGTCCTCCGCTTCCCTTGCTAACTGCTTGCCTTTCTGTCTTTTTTTTTTGTTTGTTTGTTTGTTTTAAACGCGAGGGGTTGCCCGAGCCTCCCCGTTTGTTTAAGGCGGCTGCCGGCTGCTGGAAGGTGGCTGGGGTTGGTTAGGGAGGGGAGTTAGGGATTTCCCCCTTTTAAGTGGGGGTGGTTTCCCCTGTAGGAATCTGACTTCCTGAGTTTTACAATTTAGCAAGGAAATTTTTGAGTGGTCAATTAAATTGAATTAAATTATCTCTAATTAACTTTTAAACTAAGCAATTTCAGCTACTAGAAAAAATCCCCCCTAATGGAAAGGAACTATACCTGCCCAGGAGCCAAAAGTTGTAGATGTCTCGCATGGCCAGATCAGTCAAGACTAAAGGATCATGGTCCAAGACGGGGCGTGGCAACTTTGGCTGACTGATCTGATTGGCCAGGAATACAGTCTCAACCCACTGCGTGGATTATCCATCTCCAGTGCTGGAGAACTTCATTTTCCTGTCTTCAATGCTGCTTTGGCAAAGAATAATCAATGAATTCCTAAAAATGCAGACAGAACAGCTTGCTGCTGAATGCTTACTAGTTGTACAGTAAATGAGATGTTTCTAGAAGACAGAATATAAAATTGGCCCGCATGTTAATTGGCTTAGGTCTTCTCTCAGCACAGGTGAGTGTTGAAAAGTCTTGCTTACAAAAAAAAATAACAGAGCCAATTAAAGCTTCCTTCTCTCCTGCTAATCTGGAGATCATTTACCACATCCTCTACATGACTGACAGGCATAATAAAGGTAGTTCTGCCCCACAATTAGGTATGTCAACAGGACAAACAGGCCATCTTCTTGTGCAACAATCTTTCCACTTGGTATCATCTGTTGGATATGGGCAGACAACAGCTGTAAGTGGTGGAAAAGTCAGAATAAAGGAAAAACACAGGATTTCTCTTGTTCTCTTGCCATTTTTACTTTCTCTGTCTATATACCCCATGGTTGCACAGAATATAAATTTCCACTTTTAATTATTAGGAAACTCAGTGGTCCCAGATTTACAACTGAAACATTGTAAGACGGGGGGTTTACTACTGCATACTACTATGCTACTTTTCCAGCCTTTAATTGTATTTTTCAACTCTAGATGAAAACTCTTACAACAAATAACACGGGCTATACCAAACTCCTTCTATATTCAACTTTATGAAAGAATCAGCATCTTCACAGTATTCCCTATGCTTAAACTTCTGTATGTATGCATGCACACGCAAGCACACCTTCAAGTCATGGTTGACTCCTGGCAACTGCCTAGATAAGTCCCCGCAGGTTTTTTTTTTAGCAAGATTTCAGAAATGGTTTGCTATTGTCTTCTTCTAAGGGCCAAGAGAGAGAGAGTGGCCCAGGATCACACAGCTGTTCTTAGTCTCCAGGTTTCTAGCCTGGTGTTTAACCCCTACACCAGGGGTAGGCAACCTTGGCTCTTTTATGACTCGTGGACTTCAACTCCCAGGAATTCTGAGAATTGAAGTCCACGAGTCATAAAAGAGCCAAGGTTGCCTACCCAAACTGGCTCTCTTAAACTGGCAATGATATTCTTACCTATATTCGATTAAAATGTGAAATACGGCTGAAACTACCAAGAGTTTTTTTTTAATGACTGTAAAGGTTATAACTTATCTATTCCTTAATTTTCACTTTCTAATCTGAAACTCTGGAGAACCTAAAAGGAATACGAAGCTTTTAATTTCCTTTCTTTTCATCCAATGTGGAAGATGTCATCTCAACACAACAATTATTAATTATAGTCATGGCTCACTCTTTATATCCTTGAACTGTTGGATGAGACCACAAAGCCACACTAAGAAGAGGTAAAGGGTTTCCCTATCCAGTTGTGTCCAACTTTAGGGAGCGGTGCTCATCTCCGTTTCCTAGCTGAGGGAGCCGGCATTGTCCAAGGACATTTCCATGGTCATCTAGTTCAGAGGTCCCCAACCTTTTGGGTACCAGGGACCAGTTACGTGGAGAGAAGTTTTTTTCATGGACCGGAGGGGGCGTGGTTTTGTGCGCTGCCTGCATCCCACGAATGGGGCTTTCCTTGTTTGTGTACTGGTTGCTGAGATGCCGCGGCCCAGTACTGGTCCACGGACTGGGGGTTGGAGACCTCTTATCTAGCTGGCATGACTATACAATGAAGTGCACAGAACGTTGTTACCTTCCCACCAAAGTGGTGCCTGTATATTTACTTGCATTAGGATGTTTTCGAACTGCTAGGATGTCAAGGGGCAAATTATTAAATATTCAAATAGAGCTTCTTATTAATTATATTTTGCCAATGAAACAATTAGATTTCATCTTATTGTATGAATACAAAATTAGCCTCCATAATTATTACTGATTGAAGATTTCAAAAACATTAAAAGTTTTAAATTACATTTGATATGCTACTTGTATCTTTTATAATCTAATTACTACAAAGAGGATGGTGTGAAATGGTACAAAAACCGACTTTGAAATTTATTTAGAAATGAATGAACTTTTCATTGGTGCAACCATAAAATAATATACAGCCAGTATTCTTGGTTGAAGCCTCTTTCAATTTGTATAACTTTTATACAGCACCAACCCACCATTACAATATTAATGCAATAGAAATACCATATCTGCATGAAATTTACAAGTATTAAACCAATTTACTTACCTTTTTTCTATATTGAGAAACTTGTGAGAGGGCAAAAACAGTTGAAATGGCTCCTCCTCCTATGAGGATAGTTCCTTTCACTGCCTTCCGAAATGCCATGATTTAGTTCTAGAAGGAAGAAAAAAAACAATCAGGAAAGTTTACCAAGTTTCCTCTAAAACTTGAATAAGAAACTTGAGGAAGTCTGTGTAATGCATACGAGAGTGAGTTTAAAAGGTTCATGAAGGGACAGCCACATTAGGTAAGGAACTTTGGCTAGAACATTTAGCTTTGCTGACTAAAAAGAAATACGATTCCATTCCAGAGTCCTTTGAAGAACTGTTTGATTATGAGTAAAGACTAGCTCAAACATTGGCAATCTTAGTATTACTGCACTGCAAAACACAAATAGTCGAAAGCCCAAGTCTCAAAAATAATAACTCCCATCATAGCCTGTTTACTTATAGTATTAACATTATTGCATTTTAGCCATAAGTGTATTCAAGTCAATTCAATATCATTAATTCAAAAAGACCTCAGATTATACTGTTCTCACAAGAACATATCTGAAGATGCCGATGATACATAGGGCTTTGGCTCTGTTTCTATTAGACCTAGAAATAACAAGAGAACATGTATGCCCCAATTCACAGAAAATAATTGGAGTCCTTTTCTCAGCCCATGAGATATATCATATTACTGCACCCACATGTCATCCAGCAGCAAGCTTGTAACTACTCTCTTCCTTCCTCAAAGACTAGTTGTGGGAAAGTCCTACATCTACCCATACAAAATCAAAGATATACGTAATTCTCTGTGTATAGTACTACCTAACCCCGAAGCACAATGTAAACCAGCTACTGCAGAAAATACCCTAAAAAGACTTTATTTTCTCGTCCTAACATTCTAAGCTGCTATGTTTTCTTACAATGTCCTTCTCAGCATGGTAGCAGCAGTGATACTGTGCAACTTTGCCCAGTCTGATATATTTCGCAAATATATTGTACATTATATTCAAGTCCTAGCCTTAGCCATGAAAACCAACTGGGTGACCTTGGGGCCAGTCACTCTCTCTCAGTCCAACTCATCTCACAGGGTTGTTGTTGTGGGGAAAATAGGAAAAGTAAAATATGTTGGATATATTTGCTGACTTGAGTTATTTGTAAAAATAATAAAGGCATATATATAAACAAGCAAACAAACAAACAAATATGGTCCCAGTCCAATTCATGCAGAAAAATTCCACTCAATTGATTTCCGAAATCAAATTGTGGTTTCCCCAAAACTACAAGTTTTAGAACTTCCAACAGCCAAAGTGTTTGAAAGGTACCAGGATGAGGAAGTTTGGCACAACATAAATACTGACAAAATTAATTCACAAACAGAAGTTGGCCTGTAGTGTCTATAAGCCCCTTCCCCTGAAGCGTCCCCATATCTGCCAAAATTAAAAAAAGGGGGGGGATCAAATTTTTGGCTGGTTATGTCATTGTATGACACTGAACAGTGATACTGTAGGCAGAAAAAAACGGACCATGCAAAAATATCTTGCTTTATTATTCAAATATATATGGGAAGCTTTACATTATTAGTACTCTCTTATTTCTCTTTAGCGCAGTGGTACTCAACCTTTCTAATGCCGTGACCCCATAATACAGTTCCCCATGTTGTGGTGACTCCCAAGTGAGTGTGGCCACCAATAAGAGGGAGTAGGACAGCTAGGGAAAAGGGAAAAAAATGGCGGACAGCATGGTTTGGCGACCCCGGTGAAATGGTCATTTGACCCCAAATGGGGTCCCGACCCACAGGTTGAGAACCACTGCTTTAGCGGGATGGAAGGAATCATTATTTTTGTTGTTTGTAATGATACGATGAGCACCAAACTGAAGAAGGTTGAGTCATCTCAACAAACTCTGATTATAATGTGGGAAGTCAGCCGCCCCCCCAGAAAAGGAAATATTAAAATGGCAGAAATATATATTTCCTCAAAGGATCTTAAAGAGGCAGAAAAGCATGTCCAGTTTTTCTTAATAACCCCAGCTCTCCCTCCCTCAAGCAGAAACCAGCTCTGTACAAATGCAGATGTAAACCATCAGGAAGGTTGAAGCTAGGAGATTAAGAAGACAAAGACACCTAAAATCTACATACCTCACCCAAACTCTAAGAGTCATTAGCCCCAGCCCCAGGGAAGCAGGATATGACCTTTGGGACATAATAGGATTAACCCATCACCATCAGAATACCAGAAAAGCACACTCAGACTCAGGTCAAAGTTCATGCCACAGGAACAACTCCAAACAAAAGGGTCCAGAGGATATAAAAAACTATTCCCTACATGTGCTCAGCCCTTTTTTTCTCTCTTTTCTGCCAGACCCATCTTTCTGTCTGGCTCTCCTCTTCAATAAACTGCAACCTTCTTTCTAAAGCAGTTGCCATGTTGTTTATCCCTGGCTTGGACTGAACCATGATGAAGACTTTTTTTCCAACAATAAAAAGCAGTTGCCAAGCAGGTCAGACTACTTGTCCACCTACCTCAGCTTTCCCCAATCTGATAGCCTTCAAATGTATTGGAACCAACATTCATATGCGGCCTCTAAAAAAATTCCAAAAACTGTCTCAACACAACTCAAGGAGCATGAGATTGATGAAAATCCATCTAGCCCAGTCCTATCTCTCTCTAGTCCCAGTTGTAGCAGCTATCCAAAGACTTTTCAAATGACCTTCTCCCTGACTTTTTAATGGGATTTTTTTCCCCAGGAATCTTCTGCATGGCATGTAGCCTCTTCTCAATGCATTATATATTATATTATACCACATGGCCCCAGTCCTATTCACGCGCAAAAATTCTATTTAGGAATTTCTGGAAGGCCTTTTTGATGGGAAAATACTAAGAAACAGCCTCCAAAACTGAAAAACTCTCCTGAAAGAAAACAACAGCAAACCACATCTGTCACTGTTGCCAGGAAAATGACATGGATATGCCCATGAAATTGCTAGGTATCAAGCTCGACTCAAAGGTGCTTTTTTTTTTCCTTCTATCTATAAAATCTGATGGCAGAAAAAGGGGTGCATAAACACCCTTTCACAAAAATCATTTGGACTGGTTTTCTCAGTCCTCCAGATGTGTATAAACCATATATTGATTTCAAGAGGGCTGATGCAAATGCTATTCTCCAAGTAGGTGGAACAGGCTATGTGTTGGGATATAAGAATAGCCCTGCCATTGAGAAAATATTGACTGTGGAATGAGGAATGCACGCTTATCAAATCCAATCATCAGTTACACCCTGGTAAGCCATTCTTTTTCAGCAGCTATTCTTCCTTTGTACAAACTGTCCTAATTACACAACCTCTTCAATTAGGTTTTATGGAAAAGCATTAAAGAACTTTATGAAAAACCATGGAACTTTTAAAATATTCTTCCTAAAGTAAGATTATCTAAAGTTATTGCCGTATATCTTTTATACTCTTTCAGGATCCAGTGTGAAGGAAGAGGAGATGATTCTTCTAAAATGATGCCTGCTAGCTGTTTTTATAAATTCTTATGCTAAAACAACAAACATTTTAATAATCTGATTTTTTTTAAAAAAAAAAAAAGCTCTTCAGACCAGTTTAAAATATAAATATTTTAAATTTACAATATTTTAAAATATTGTAATTTGGTCAATCTAACTGGCCTATGTCTCTAGGCATCTAGGCATTTCCTTGAGAGTAACCTCCATTGAAAATAGAATTTAAGTGAAGACAACAAAAAAGACATGCTTAACTCTTGATGACTTCATGAATGTGGACTTAGTTTGCCACTAACCTCTCCTTATGATTTTTCAATGTCTCAATCTGATTTACAGCTCAGACTGCAGCAGATCAGATAGAGCAGAATGCTCCGTTCTTAAAAGGAGATTAAACGTAGACGCTCAGCTATACTAGTCTGAAACTGATAAATACACTATATAGATATATAACAGAAAACAGAATAATAGAGCTGAAAGGATCATCTAGTTCAGCCCTCTGCAATGTACAGGAAAACCATTCATTTGCTGATTTATTTTTAAGTCTGTATAAAAAGAATTAAAAACATATCATAGTAACAAGCAAGACCCTAAAAGATTTTTTAAAAACTTACAAATAGAAATTAAGTTATCCTTATCCTTCTTAAAACACCTCTAGAAATGGAGAATTGAATCCACAGTCTTCATAGATAAGATTTTTATTTTGTCAAATATGAAGTCACCTGACTCATTAATATCTCTGGGTAGCCTACAACTTTTACAACACACACACAGACCCTTATGTGTCATCAAGCTCCTAGTGACCACATAGTTTCGTCAATCAATCACAGACACAATCCATCAATAAACCAGTAACACTAATAAACCAACCCTCCCAAAATGGCATTCCACAGCTAGTCTGTCAATACAGCTGGAAAAACAGCCATAAAAAATTCCTAAATAAATACGGGTAGGAGCCACATAGATCTCTGGACAAGGGGGGAGGGGAGGGGAAGAGAATAACCCATCATTCCAGAGGGCAAGTGCAGCAACAGGATAGGTTGGTCTACTATCATACAGATCTTCCAGTGAGGTTTTTGCTATATTTAAATGAACTTTAGATAGTTGCAATTTATGTCCATTATTTTTGGTTCTAGTTTCTTCTTTTCTCCAGACTGAATATCCCAAGTTATTTCAGCTGTTCTATTAGGGCATCTTGTCAAAGAAGATGACATTTGTCTCGGATTACCTGTTTTTGACAAAGCTCCTGGCAATCACAGCAATCTTCAAGCTTACAAATGGCCTGCTTATTCAACCATCCCTCCAGAGACTAATGTCCAGTTCACTGTTCAATAATTACTGGGATCCTGTTTTTTTTGAAGAGGGTAAATACTTTTTTCTTCTTCCCCAATCATTTGGTATCTTCCCTCCTATCAAAGACAATAGTTCCTCAAAAGTATTCTAGAGTGTATTTCATGAGGGCCTGGGACCTTGAAAGCATTTAAATTAGTCAAATGCTCCTTTATTTCATCCCTACCATCCTGCACCCTTTTCCTGTTGTGTACCTTCCCGATGTATGCTACTAAATTAACATTTTTAAAAAATATTTCAAATGTTATTTTTAACATTTATTTAAATAGTTTA